ACCAGAGTGGTGGCCTCATCCTTGACTTTGCATTAGAATCAGCTGAGTAAATGGATTAAAAACACATATTCCTGGGACCCTCCTCAGAACACCTTTATCAAAGTCTCCTGGGTAAGGCTAGGAAACCAATCCATATTTTTAATAAGCTTTCCAGATGATTCTGATGCAGCCAGGTTAGCAAAAGTCCACAATCAGATACTGGGAGTTACTAAAAAAAAAAAAAATCCCTGGATTTGACTTGGTATTTGTCTAATTTAGAAACCCTGGCAGTATTCCTTCAGGCAGAGGGCTTAGTTCCAAGCCCCCATCTGGAGCTTCGAGCATTGCTTTGTGGGTGTGAAATGGATTTGGGGGAATTCAATTTTGTAGGTACTAATTATCTTACATCAACACTCCTGGAAGTTGGCCCCTCATATTATCTGAAGCAGAAAAACATTGCAGTGAAAACTGGACATGACATAGGAGATAGCAAGGCAGCCATAGCATTGAAAAGGTCCCAGAACAACTTTTATTATTTCTTCTTTTATTACTTCTTCTTTTGGCAACCTAGATTGACTGATGAGTTACATACTCTTAAATGAATAAATCTGACTGCAGAGATTCTAAAGCATATCTCAGAAACAGATGGAGGCATCTCGCCCACATCTAAACATATGATGCTGGCTTTGAATTCTATTTTATATTAAAAATAATATTAACCATAAACTAAGCTCTAGCAAGTGTTTGTCATATCATAGCCTAAATAAATGCTGAACAAAGGATCCTGTCCACCTTCAATTTAGTAAAAAAATCTAGCCATTATCCTCTTTTTGTGACATCTTTTAAAGGCAGCTCCAATACACTACTCCTTTTGAATTTACAACATGTATTTTCTATATACTCAAAGAAGTTGTCACTTCTACTTTGCCCCACAGTGATCACAAAATTTCCTAAAATCCTCTCTTTGCTATTGTGGTAAATAAGAAGCTACCAATACAATATCTCTGTCAACTGTAGGTATTAAAAATTGTGAATTAATATTTATAACATTTATCCTTATTTAAGAGCAATCATATCTACTTTGAAGGAATAAACAAAAGATATTACTTGCTTACTGCATATGGGTTTTGAAGTAAAATTGCTTTCTCAACCATGCTCCAATCTGCATTAGCAAGATCTTTGTCAAATTTGAGTGCAGAGGCTGCAGACTTGGTTATCTCTTGAAAGTGTTGAAATGTATAATGAAGTGATTTATATTTTGTTGACGTGACATCATGAAGTCCTTTGATACAAAAAACACATTTTAAAATAGTAGGAACACCAACCACCACTTTGATCTGAATTATAAAGGTTCTTTTTGTTCTTATTGTACTAAGTATTTTTTTAAAGTTAAAGACTCAACATAAATTGTTTAATAATAGGAACACCAATAATTTTAAAATTTTCTGCTTTCATACTCCTCACAAAATCTGAAGTACATAATAATAATAATAATAATAATAATAATAATAGCTAATATTTATCAAGTGCTTACCATATGCTGAGCAAGCTCATCTCAGCACTTTGTATTAAGCCTTTTGATCACTTTGACCACCTTCTGAGGTAAGTCTCTCTCTTCCCAGATCGATAGATGAGGAACAGAGGAAGAGAAGTGTGATTAATTTTTGTTTTTTACTATAAATTTATTGAGTAAAAACAAAATCAGTGTCAGACATTAAATTCGGTTTGGTTCAAATTAGGCTGATGTCCATTTGCAGCAGAGATGAGCTGAGGTGAGAAAGTACCATGATGCTGGTATGGGGACACTGAACAGGACAATTTTCCATTAGTTATAAAAGCCGGCATTGCACAGCAGTGTGGGTCAGTTAGTAAAGGCAGGGGGAAGCGACATTTCATGAGCAGGGATAAAACCAAAGGAAGCAAGCACTTCCAAGAGAGGAGAGGGCCAGAGCATTTAGAGAACAAGTTACAACAGGGGCTGGTTGGAGAATAGTGTTGGGTGCAGATCTGCTGGCTCACTTGGGGAACACAGTGACCACATCATTGCCTTCGGGTGGCGTGACCCACTCTTGGGCATGTTTTCAACAGTAGATTTGATCTTCCACAAAGAAACGGCCCTTCTGTTTCACTTTTGTGCCGAAGTCAGTGCACACATAACCCTCAGGGTGGCAGTTGACGGTCCTGCAGCTTCACAAACCAACAATGCCGGTGCCACATGTGTCACACATGGGCAACTTCTAGGCATTTCCAATAGATGTGGCCACTTTGATGACTGGAGCTTTAATACTTCCAAATCCTGAGGGTTTGTTGAGATCCCCCTTTCTCCTCAGACTCCAGGGTTTCTTGCAAAACCAGGAATGAAGTGGGCTGTTTTGGGGGTTCATTTAGTTCCTGTTTCTCCTGCAACATCTTCTAACTTCAGATTCCTTGTCAATGACAAGTCCACTTGGAGGCTGAGAATGCTCTAAGACTGCCATTTGTTTCTGGTTCACTGGCTTTGACTCCAAGGCGCTGTTGAAGTTTTCAGAGGAGTAGAGGCCAGAGGGGCTGTTGTACTGGTTTGTGATGACCCTGGGGACAGGGCAAGGCAGTGAAGGGCTTGGCACCCCAATTCTGGGCACTTCCTATGTGCAGGACCTCTCGCGGTTCAGAGGCTAAGTTCGTCCTGTATAGATGACGTTTCCCTTCCTCTGTCACCAGAGGAGACCAGACTTTATGTTCAGATCTGGCTACCATGAGAGTCATGTTGTCTATGCAGCCCTTAATTTTGTTCTGAGCATCCATGTGCGTCATATTGCTGGTACTGTCCCCATCAATGGCTGTGATTACATCTCCAGTAGTACGTAAATTTGCTGTAGCAGCCTTGCTTCTAGGAGTGACCTGGTCTTGGCACTTTTTAAAACGAGTTTAGAAGTGCTGTGCAAAGTCAGCCCTCTGAGAGCAGCTCCATCTTCACATTTGCTTTTTATAAAAGAAAATCATGTGTTAAAGGTGCTGTCGAATGATCTCATTTGAGGCTATGAAGCAGCCAGGGCATTTAGCCCCATTTTACAGCCGTGATGCTTAGTTTTATGTGTCAACTTGACTGTGCCATGGGGTGCCCAGATATTTGGTTAAATATTATTCTGAGTGTGTCTGCGAAGGTGTTTCTGGATGACAATGACATTTAAATTGGTAGTCTGAGAAAAGCAGTTTGTCTTCCTCAATGTGGGCAAGCCTCATCCAATCTGTTGGACACCTGAATAGAACAAAAGGCTGAGAAAAAACAATTCACTCTCTGCCTGATGGTCTGCAAGCTGCAACATGCTTGCAGATTTGGACTGAAACATACAACATTGCCTTTTGTGGTTCTCAGGCCTTTGGACTGCAAATATATCTGCTGTACCTATATATCTCATATAGGTATAGATATAGATACAGATATATACAGATGTGCACACACACACACATACACAGTACACGTATATATCTATGTGTGTGTGTGTGTATATATATATCTCCTACCTGTATGTAAGATCATGTATATATGATATATATGTATTTATTTCCAGATATATATCTTTAGACCTCATTAAGGTTTGAAGTACTCTTACTCTCAGGTGCAAATTCCTTTTTTGAGCCATGGAAGCTTCTTTAAAAAGCAATGATGTCCCATGAGCAAATGTTCACTGCTCTCAGTGCAAGTAAACAGATGCTCCACAATAAGAATTTTAGGCTTATTTACCTAGTAAGTAAAACATATGATACTCTTTGCAAAACTTTACCTCTTTAATCTGTTCTTCTTATTTTACTATGCGAAGGCTCAGAATTTAAAAAAAAAGAAGAAAAGGAATATCAATTTTGTTACAAATATGAAGGGAGGGAGATTGGATAATGCAATATTATCCATGAAGATGAAATTTCAGATTGATAACAAATGCCATTAGAGTGAAAACTGTGAGTAATAGAAAGAATGAGAAGGCAGTTAAGAATACAATGGATTAAAAGCATCAGGACAATTTGCTTCTAGTTCTGTAGCTGCCATTACCTAGTTGTGTGACCTTGAGCAAGAACTTTAAATCTCTAGATGTCAATTTCTCAATTGTTAAAAGTAGGGGCTAAAAAACACATACTGCATTATGCAAATGTCCGCTTAAAACTGCTATTTTTGCTTCTACTCTCCTTATATCCCCCAAAGAGTTATCCTCAGAACTAGAGTGGTCTTTTCAAGACTTTGTCAGAGAAATTAGTGAATTTCACTTATAGTTTCTTCAGTAATCTACCACATGTTATCTTTTCATCCTTATGTAAGTGTGATTTGTTTACTCTGATGCACACATGACTCTCTGATATTACCCTATTTGACTAATTTACTGTTTTACCTCGCTCTAATGTAAGCTCCATCAACTTGGAAATCTTGTCTGTCTTCATAATTCATCACTATCATTTAAAATAGTGCCTGGCATATAGGAGGCTCTTAATAAAAGTTTGTCAAATAACTGAATAAATTTATTATATTATTTTACTTAAACTGGACTAATATAAATAAATAATCTTTTTAAATACACAAGCTTATTGGCCTAAACCATTCGTATGACTTTACATAGAGATCCAATTTTTTCTTCAATTAGACATCACTGATTTGTATTTAGATAGCTTTTTTTCTCAATTTCTAGTAATATTTAGCTTATTTAGAATATTTTTCTCTTCATGCAGAATAGTAGTTAGTGGGGCTTACCTAGTTTATTAGTTGCCACTGGCAAAATAATTTTATTGATCATCAGGGTAAGCATGCACACTGACACTGAATGAAATAATACCTAGAATTGAAGAAAACACTAAGTAAGTATTCAAGGCAATTTCATATATTATCTTCTGCACTTACCAGTGTAGATTAAGCTAGGTTGAGCTATGTCAGTAGATGCTCATGGTGGGGAGAATTTGGAAGTCAGACATGATGAAAATACTCTGGGGAGTCTCTATCTTCCCGCATATATATCATCCATGCTTTTGGAACCAAACAAAAAATCAGGACACATGGTTTGACAAGTAAACATATACAGACATTGGAAAAAAAATACTTGTCCTTAAATTCCATTGCTGCATTTCTTGGGCCCTGGAAATATACCTGTATTTTATTAATTCTTATCTACTGTACACACCTCCATGTACATGGCCACACAGTTCTCTATTCAACATTACCAGTACACCTGTATCAGACAATTCTCCTCACCTGGGGAAAGAGAACAACTCAGAGGCCTTGATATGTTTGCTCCACCTCATGCTTTGTCTCTCTGGCATCACTTTATTGTCAGCAAGGAGGAGCAATTCATGCCTTTGGCGCCACTTTTTTTTTTTTTTTAAATCTTATATCCCAACTTGGTCTCTGTAGATGAGTGGAGGAACACTTTCCAACAGAAGACTACACACTTCTGTTGATTTATGGGATTCTAACGTCCAGAACTTATGCTAAACTCTTAGCTAGTCCTGTGTTCTTTGGTCACAGATATAAGATTAGGGACCGAACATGAAACCACACCAGAGTCTCTCAAGGTTTCACATTACAATCACTTGGGAAACTTTAAAATATTGATGTTCAGGATACTCCCACTGAATAGTCTGATTTAATTCTTTATATGTGAAGCCTAAGAATTGGTCATTAGAGAAAAAAAACCAAGATATAATCTATATACATTGAAATTTTCTTGTGTATCATTTGACAAGTTTTGACAGTGCATACACCCCTATAACCCTCAATCCTATCACTATGTAGAATATTCTTATAACCACTCCCCCACCCAAATTTCTCCAGTGCCCTTTCCCAATCAATCCTCCACCCCATGAGAAGATCTATATCTATATCTATATCTATATCTATATCTATATCTATATCTATATCTACCTAAATCTATCTATCTATAATCTATATCTATTTATATATATAAACATCAGGGGTGCCAAATATATATATATATATTTTTCCCCTGACTATTTGTCCCTTTCCCATCCATTTCTATAAAACTATCTTTTGATGACCTTTTTTTTTTTTTTTTTTTTTAGCTGAGCCATCCTGCCACCTGTTGGCAGCTCAGCAGCAGCTCAGCTCGGGCCGGGCATCAAACCGCTGTTGCTCAGAGCTCACACTCTTGAGCGAGCTCTTAACCAACTGAGCCACTCAGCCAGCCCTGATAACCAATGTTTTTAATATTCATAGTTTCCAATTATTATTATTTATGTTCTAAGAACCCTTTATCTGTTTCAAGGTTACAAATGAATTTTCTTACATTTTCTTCCAGAACTTTTAGAGTTTTTTTATTTTATATTTAAGCCTATGATCTACCTCGAATCAGTTTTCTTGTCTTATAGGTTTCTTTCTTTATTATTTTTATTTATTTTTGTTTGTTTTAAGTGTACAAAGCAATGTAATAGTTAGACATTTACACCCCTTACAAAGTGATACCCACCCCCCAATCTACTATCCCTTGACATCGTATATAGCTGTTGACCAGTTTTATATACAGTTTGAGGTTAAAATAGATATTTTATTTTCTGTTTTTCTAAATGACTATCCAGTCATTCATCAAAAAGGCTATCCTTTCCCCCTTTGAAGTGCTTTGGCAACTTTGTCAAAAATCAATTGACTGTATAAATGTGAGTCCTTTTTGGACTCTTTATTATATTCCATTTATCTCATTTTTATGCCAGTATCTTAACAACTTAATTACTTTATCTTTATAGTAAGTCCTTATATAAGATAATATAAAACCTCCAGCTTTGTTCTTCTTTTTCAAAATTGTTATGGCTATTCTAGGTCCTTTGTATGTTTATATAATTTTAGATTCAGCTTATCTATTTTTAAAACAAATCTGCTGGTATTGGATTGTGTTGCATATAGCAACAGGCTAATCATCTTGAGTCTTCCAATCCATGAATATGACATATCTCTCCATTTGTTTAAAGATTTTAAAATTTCTCTCAACAATGTCTTGTAGTTCTCAGTGCACAAGTTCTGTACATTGTTGAAAGGGGTCTCTAAGATGGCTCCCAAGGACATCTACTTCCTGATATTTAGGTCTATGTGAAATCGCCTCCCCTTGCATGTGGACTGAACTTATTGGCTCACTTCTAATGAATACTGAGTATGTCCAAAGCAATGGGAACTTACTTCCAACTTAGGTTATAAAGAGACTATGGCTTATGTCTTGGGTGCTTGTTCTTTCTCACTCTCTTGCTTGTTTATTCTGAGAGAAGTTATATACAATACTGTGAGCTGACCTATGGAGACACCCAAGTGGCAAAGATCTAAAGGAGGCTTCTGGCCAAGAGCCAGCAGGAAATTAAAGGCCTTAGTCCAACTGCCTGTAAGGAAGTAAATCCTGTCAACAGTTATGCAAGTGAGCTTAGAAGCAGATTCTCCAGCTCCAGTAGAGCTCTTTGATGGCTGCACCCCCAGTTTATGTTTAAAAGGAAGTTTAGGAGAGACACTGAATCAGAGGCACCTGGCTAATCTGCACCTAGATTTCTGAAAACACACACACACACACACACACACACACACACACACACACACACACATATGATTACCACAACAAATTTAGTTAACATCCATCACCTCACATAATTACAAATTTTTCATGTGATGGAACTTTTAAGATCTAATCTGTTAGAAGTTCTCAAATATACAATACAGTACTGTTAACAATAGTCATCATGTTGTACATTACATCTCCAAAATTGTTTGTCTTATAATTGGAAGTTTGTACCTTTCGACTGCTTTTACCCATTTCCTCTATTCTTAACCCCCCACCTCTGGCAACCACCAATATGTTCTCTGTTTCTCTGAGTTTAGTTTTTTTTTTTTTTTTAAGATTCTGCATATGGTATTTTGAAAGTTAAAGTAATACTTTTGGCCACATTTTTTGGATTAAAGCCTACTTGAGCATAAGATATTATTCTTTTTATAATTTGAAAATTTATTGGCTAAAGATTAAAAAAATTTTTTTTGCATCATGTATAATCAGTAATTTTTTTTGTAATATATTTGTTGGTGGTTGGTATCAGAGTGGGCTAGCCACATAAAGTGAAGTGTTCCACCTTTGCTTATTCTATAGAAGAGTTTGTGTAAAATTGGTGTTATTTATTCCTTAAATGTTTGGTATATTTAGCTGGTTAAGCTATCCAGGCTTCTGGTTTTCTCTTTGAGAAAATTTAATTTATATATCCTATTTCTTTAACATATATAGTGCTATTCCAATTTTCAATTTCTTTTTGTGTCAGTTGGGTAAGTCGTATTTTTTGAGGAATTTAACCATTTCATCTAACGTGTTGAACTTTTTTGATATAAAGTTACATATGATTTCTACTTATTATTATTATTATTATTATTATTATTATTATTTGCATTTGTTACATTTATTGTGGTAAAATATACATAACATAACTTCCTTTAAAGATTTTTGAGTTTTATTGTGTCTGTCAGTTGATGTACTGAAAGATCACAGTATCCTGCCAAGGCGTGGTTTTAGTTTTTCTTAGACTGGGTCTAGAGTAAACCTTACTTACTATAGGGCACAATCCTTATTTCTAAGGCATGGTCTTTCTGTAGTCACAACTTAACTCTTCATGAGGTTTATACTGTGCCTAGCCAGAACTCCAGTATCTCTCAATACTGTGTGGCCTCCAGAAAGTCCATTCAGCACAAAGCTCCCTAATGGCTCTTTTCTGCCAATCCTCCTCTAATTCTCTGATTGCACAGATTAGCATTGAACTAATGACCTAAGGGGTTCCGTATGCAGATTTCTAGTGCTATTTCTTTCCACACTTCTTCTCTCCCTGTCACCCTGTCCCACAAATTCAAGCTGCTTCATTAGCCCCAACTCTATTTTTTACACTCAGTGAGATTACTGTTCACTGTTTGGTCTCCACGTCTTTATGCCACAATTTGTAAGAAAGACAGAGTGAACGTGAACTCTCGTAATGTGTCTATCCTTCTCTCAATGATCTAACCATTCAGTGTGCTTACCCAATACTCAAAATCAGTTGCTTTATATATTTTAACCCATTTTATAGTTATTTACTATGGGAAGTGAGTCTAATATCCATTGTTCATCATGGCCAGGCCCAGAATTCTACAGGCCATGGAATTTTTCTAAAAGATCCTGAAGCATTCTAAAGTGTATTCAAGGTTGAGGACCACTAAGTTAGTTAAATATAGTTTAATAGTAATAAGAGCTAACATTTATATAATAAGCATGTAGTACAACATATCAGGCTTATCCTAACTACAATTCTATAAAGTAAACACCAATATTGCCCAATTATGCAGATGGAAAGCTAAGGCACTATACTTTACCCAAGATCATTTAATTTCTGAGTAGTAGAAATAGGATTGAATTGCTATTTTTAACCTTTTACTATAGTATCTCTTCGTGAGTCAGCTGTAGGATTCAGCCAAATTAAACGAAGGAAGGATTGCTACTTTCTTCTCAACCAGTTATTACTGGTGAAGACATTTTACTAAATGATTCTATTCACTAAGATTTTATTTCAAAGCAGGTCTACATGGCATCATTATCATTGCCATAGCTCATATTTATTATATGTTTATTGTATACATTGAATATATTCTATTTATTGTACATATTATAAACATACGCTAAATAATGTATAATGGATTTTATGTATATTTTCAATTTCTCATAGTAACCCTTTGAGGTAGTGGTATGCTAGAGTTGGCTCTTACTAGTTTGTGAGCGCTCATGATTAAATCTTTAGGAAGTTTATGAACTGATTGATGTTCTGTTGGTGAGAGTGATCACACAACAAGAGTTGGTAACTACTACACATTAGGGCTCCATCCCCCCTGCTAAAGCTACTTGTTAAACAGTGGCAAACTAGTGGTATTCTTATTAAGTCCATTTTGGAATGAGGAATTGACATATGGGCTGGGGGTGAGAATTAAATAACTTGCTGATTGCCACATAGCAACCAACTAAAATTTTCAGAACCCAGATTCATGTACAATGTTCACCATTACACTAGTCAGGATGTATGAGTATGGTGATGACACTGGCCTTAATTATTCACACAGGTGGATATAGGTTAAAAAGAAGGGGGAGGTCATGTAACATTGAATAATTTTGGTTTTAAAAGCAGTGTTTGGCTATTTAGTTTGTAAATGTTTGAGCTATTATTTAATTAGACATGTATAATGACCTAGCCATTCTTCCCTTTACACTTAGAATTAATGTTTAAAAAAACAAACAAACCCACAATGGAAGTGTTAGATGCATAGAAAATCTGTGATGTCTGCATAGAAAGTTTGTTCCAGAGCTCCTTGTAACTATTTTACTTGAGATGAAGTAGAGGGAGGGTCATGCCCATCATGTTCTGTTAGGGAGACTTTGGGGGTACTATCTTAGAGATAACTTCACTTGACAATGAAAATGTTTTTATATCTAGCATTACTAAATGTGGCCTCATAAAGTTACGGAAGGCAATAGAGCTAATCATAAGTAGGTTTCTGCTTTTCTTGAGTTGGTATTAAGAGTAAATAAAAATAAAAACATTTATTAAGTGCATACTCTGTATTAGGTACTATTTAAAAAGATTTGTAATTTCTAATTCCTTTAACCTTTATAATAAACTTATATTTAGGAGTGTGATGAAGGAATTTAGAGGTCCCTAAGCTAGAAGGGGGAAGAGGAAAGTTGCCCGTTGTTCCTCCTCTCCCCAGTCTTGCCATTGTAGCTAATTCACTCCCACCGGTCAAGTGGGGTTGAGCTACCCCACTACAAAAGCATATTTTAGTACACAGCAACAGGTTTTATAAAATATTCAAATAAAAAATATATCTTTCTTTACTTGCAATCTTTCCTTCTCAGATGCCAGAGAAAGGTCAGAGTAAGCAAACAGAAGGGCCATGGTTATATTAGGCATCCCTCTCATTTCACTCCAGACCATTATGAATGCCCAGCGCCAGTTGAACCCGTCACCAAGTCGAGACAAAAGAGGGCTCATACATAGAATGACCAGAAGTCTAAAAGACAAAACAAATTTTAAGAAGTTATTCTTGTCATAGAAATTTATTTCCATTTCATCCTACTCTATTCCTTCCAATCTATTCCCTGTGGAATTGCCAACTCTCAGACGAACGAGTCATCTTCCACACACTGTTGGCATAGATCAAAGACAGGCAGAAGGAAATTTCATATAGAGACATGCCAAGAGAATGGCACTAATATTCTCTTTCTTTCTTCCTGTTGGGTAGGTCGTAGGATAATTCAACATCACCCTTGAGTGGCGCTTCTTCAGGTGGAAAAGAAAAACTGAGAGATGTTTTGTAGATATATATTCTATACTGAATCCCAAAAAGAAGTAAAAGCAAATCTAATGAATAAGAAGTAAAAAAACCCAAGTCGTCTCCCCCCCCAACACACATTATTTTATAGATTTAAATCTTGCTGAATCTGTGCAATATTGGTCAATTCATTTCTATTTCTTCTTTCAGTTATGTATCATTCCTACACTTTATACTATTAATAATTGTATCTGATAATTTGGTACTAATTTCCATTTACTTGGCACTAGCTGACTTGATGTTGACTCCTAACTCATTTTCCTAGATGAAAGTAGAATGTTGACAATTTGAATTGTGGAGATTAAAGAATTGTGGAGATTAAAGAATTGTGACTCTGGTGATGGTGGGTTTTCCTCCTCTCTGTCATCTCCTTTTCAGCTACATGGGCAGACTCTTTTCTGCCTTTTAACATTGAAAAAGAAATTACAAAAATTGTTCGAGCAAAAAGGACATTTACAAAGAGGATTTCTTTATGATTGTTTAAAAAGCTATTTCTAACTATAATTAGTAGGAAATTACTTGCTATATAATAGCAAGCAACCAAACCAAGAAAAAAAAATTTATTTAAGATAGGTATTTAACTTCATGAAAGCTCATAGAAAAAGAAAAACCACTGGAAAAAAATGTGCCAAATGTTAACAGTGGTTGCTTCTAGATAATAAGATTATAAAAGATTTTTTTCTTAGTATCACTTTTTAAAAATTTTTATTAAATTTATTGGGGTGCCATTGGTTAGTAAAATTACATAGGTTTCAAGTGTACAATTCTATAATATATTATCTGTATATCACATTGTGTGTTCACCACCCAGAGTCAGTTCTGCCATCAGCATATATTTGACCCCCTTTTCCTTATTCTACCATGTCCCTCCCCCTTACCCTCTGGTAACCACTAAACGGTTGTGTAAATGAGTTTTTGTTTCTTTGTTTATCTTGTTCATTTGTTGCTTTCAATTTTATATCTCACATGAGTGAAGTCATGTGGTTCTTGACTTTTTCTGTCTGATTTATTTTGCTTATAATAATCTCAAGATCCATCAATGTTGTTGCAAATGGTAGTATTTCATCTTTCCTTATGGCCAAGTAATATTCCATTGAATATATGTACTATACCTTCTTTATCCAATCATCTTTTTGAAGGACACTTCAGTTGTTTTCATGCCTTGGCCATTGTGAATAATGCTGCAATGAACATAGGGATACATATATCTTTAAGGATAAATGTTTTCAGGTTTTTGGGGTAGCTACCCAGAAGAGGGATTTCTGGGTCATACGGTAATTCCATTCTTAATTTTTTGAGGAACCGCCATACTGTTTTCCATAGTGGCTGCACCAATTTACATTCCCACCAACAGTGTGAAGGTTTCTTTTTCTCCACAGCCTCTCCAGCACTTGTTATTCCTTGTCTTGTTGATAATAGTCATTCCGTCAGGTGTGAGGTGGTATATCATTGTGGTTTTGATTTCCATTTTCCTAATAGCTAGTGAGGTTGGGCATTTTTCATATCTCTGTTGACCATTTGCATGTCTTCTTGGGAGAATTATCTGTTCAGTTCCTCTGCCAATTTTTTAATTGGATTACTTATTTTTTTTGTCGTTGAATTGTATCACTTCTTTATATATTTTGGATATTTATATATTTATATATTTTTGGATAATATCTCCTCCCATTGCGTTGGTTGCCTCTTCTTTCTAATTTTCAAAACTTTTATAGAGGGTTTGCATTGCTTTGAAATGCAGTTAAAACTGAAAAAAAAATACTAAGAACTAATTTGCTAATGATTCCTTAAAAGGTTTAAGAGTCAGTTTTTCATTCTAAGGAACAAAACATTTTTATTATTTAAAAGAATATCTTTGGGTTTATTCAATATCCTATAAATAGAAAAATTCAAACGACATTCTTACCTTATAACAGCAAGTGTGAAGTAGATATTTAATGAATAATATATATCAGAAAATGATATATATAAATATGTATGTGCAGGAATTAGAAGTCCAGTGAAAGTAAACACCATGAGAAAAGCAACAAATGACAGACAATTCCAGAATCTGCATTTTTCAGAAAAAAAATTAAATATAGTTATAGTTAATTAATCTAACATTTATTGCAAAGCTTATCTATGAGTGAGGCATTGTGCTAGGCATTATCAAGAAAATAAAGATGAATAAACTATCAACACTCAAGGGGCTTATTTCACTGAGAGAAAAGAGCACTAAGTCAAGTAACCAAATAATTCTAAAGTAATTTTAATCAGCTTACACTGAATGTAAATGAGTGTCTTTCTTTTGGGATTGACTTTGAAAGACGTGTTTAGGTTGTAGTTATGCTATTTTTTTAGAACTCCTTCAGTCATCGTGGTTCATAGAACTCGAGAATACTGATTTTGAAGTTCTTGTACTAAAATTATTGATTTTGAAAGGAAATACTGAACTGCCAGTCTGATGTACATAGTGATAGAATTAAGCCTTTGCCTAAAATGTAGCAAGCACTTAGAAGATATGATAAATCTTTTATTCACATGAATGCCCTTTGCAGAGTCTTCGTTGGGGATTTGTGATGCTGTGCTTACTCAAGTGCTCCAGAGCCCAGGAAAGCTCTTCATCATTCTCAGAGCTCATGTTTTCATCAGCTGCATACAAAGCAGTTTGAAAGAGCACACTCCAATACCAATATCAGTCATGTTTGGGTATTGGGACTCTAGGAGGCTATTTAAAACTTACTTCTTGTTATCTTTCTATATATTTCATATCTCTAGTGTCCACAGATTTATAACAAAATTAATGTATAAGGTTAAAAAGGCACATGAGCACAATTTTATAAGAGGAAGGTTTTACCCGTACGGTGCCAGGCTGTCCCTGAAACCCTTTAAAGATCATTTTCGTCTCTTCTTCCAGAATACTGCTTTTGCTTGAAAATGAATTCAATACTAAAAGCAAGCCTTTCTCTGTTACACTAATCAGAAATCTCTGTTTCTGAACTATATTTGAGAGATACAAATACTTAGGCATTATCAGAGAAAAATTCAATGTAAAACATTCTAGCCTAGGAAATACTAGGTCAAATCATTCAAAATATTTTTGCTGTGGCTGAACTTAGGCTGATTACTCTAGACTGAGAGCTGTCATCCCCTTTGTGTATATGTATGGCCATACTTTAAATTCTGTTATCCTCTGGAGTTAAATATTGCATCCAACATTAATTTGGAGGAAAACACACTAAGATATATTTTATGACAATTATGTAATTTTTGTATTTTTATCCTCCTTTTGACTTCCCTATCAAAAGCAAATCCAATTGTTGGACACTCCCTACCTCCATCACGCCCCCCAAAAAATTCCTCAAAACATTATTCCCACCTACCCATATAATTAAGGAAATCACTTGTAAACATTGAGTAGGACAATTCAATCAAGTGAATGGTGAATATGATCCACTATCATATTTCGCTATTCATTTAACAATTACGTAACAAAAAGTTCTCCTTAACACTGTGGAAAAATGCCACCAAATACCAAAAATCACAGTCTCATTAGTTAGCATAAGATGTGATCAAATCAATTAAGCCACAAATATTGAAAAGTTGTCAAGACTTTTGTCTTGTGGTATTCTACCACACCTTTCATATGTGGTAGAAACTGAGAAAAACCTAATGAGGAGAAAACCAAATCCTCTAAGGAATCAGTCTCCATCAAATTCAAGGCGCTACATGAATAGAAGCATAAAGAAGTGAGGCAGCCACTTCTGCCCGTATGTAGGGGAAGCATGCCAGTATATAGAGGATGCACATTTCAAGAGCAGACACACTAGGACACAAGCCCAAATAAGAGCATGTTTGGCATGTTTGAGAAAGCAAGGTGATCAGTGTGGCTAGGACAGGGTGGGTGAGAATGAGAGTGGTAGAACTGAATCACAGAGGTAATGGAAGGACATATCATACGACTTTGTTTGCCATTAAAACAACTTTGACTTTAGCCAAATGAGGTAAGAAGCTATGAGATGATTTTAAACAAAATAAGTCATTTGGGTAAAGAGGAAGTGAGGCAGGTGAGAATTAGTAAAAGATCATAGGATCAATGCATTATAGTCTCGGTGTGTTTGCAGGATTGTTAGAATTGGGGTCCTAGAGGATATAAGCTGAAAAGATGGGAGATGCTGTCTCACCTCTCAGAGAAAAGCATGGACCTGCTGTAGGTGGCTGTAGGATGTAGTAGGATTTATCATTATTACCTTAGGTTTCTACTATCTTGGAGAAGAGAAGCTGGTACATATCATATTTTACATACTAAGATTCTTGAAGTTGAGATTGTGAAGTGGTTATTTATATGACCATATAAACTGAAGCAGAGTGGTGGACATGCTCATAGGAGGAGAGGGGTTCCAGGAACTGAAAGATGAGGAAGTAGAAGGATCACCTGTGTGGGTATTGATCGACGTCACTTAAAATGGTGATGGAGTAATGTTGGAGAGAGTCACAGTGAGAAAGAGCCAAAATCTTCACAATATGGAGCATGTGACTCAGGGCTCTAGAAGGTGGCAGATGATATAATGTGATGGCGTGAGCTTCAAAATTAGGTTCTTCTGGGGAAGGAGGAGGAAGAAGAATACAGAAATAACTGAGGTATAGAGCCTACCTAAACTCTAGCCTCAATAGCACCAGGGTGAGAAAGATACCATGACTTGTAAGGAATGCAGGGCAAGTATGTCTTCAGGGGAGATCCAGCTTTCAGTTAGAGCAAGGAGGTGAAGGGAATCTTCAGAATCACTTCTCATAGATATAACTGAACACTTGTGTAACATTTTTAATTCTCCCTACAACCGTGGCCCAATTAATTCTGCCTAGCTGCTAGTACAATTGTCTTTCATTGTATTTGACATGCAATTTTAGTGAAGTGCTCCGAAATCTTATAGGATCTTGTATTTTTAAGCTTCTGACTTTGGAATTTATTTTATCTTCTATATAACACCCTCCCAAACTCCAAATATCATTGATCATTTTTAGGGCCTCCATTAACATATGAGTATATGTTGCTGTTGTATAATGTAGGCCAAGTTCTTACCCTCTGTAGTGTAGCATTATAGAAAGCACCCTTCTTTTAGGCTGACACAGATTCCACTCACCCCTCAGCTGGGTGCCCTTGAGCACAGAACAATTTGTACACTTCTGCTAAATGTAAGTCTTGCTTATGTTTAGTTTGCCATACTTTCTTTTACAACACTGCCTGTGCTCTTTAACTGCCCTAGCTTGATCTTCTAATTGTCCTTAAAATATTGGTCCTCCACTCTAGTAGTAGGGCCATGCTGAGCCATAAATGGAGCCTGAAGCAAAAGAAACTATCAGCAATATTTATCTTATCTTAATTTAAAATTTCTATAATTTCACCGTGGATTTTTACATTAATTTCCAAAACAAAAATATTGCATTAAAACACTGTTTTATCTTGATTACTGAGTTTTTTTAACACCCTCTTAAATTTTGTGCCAGAAGTGAATGCCTCACTTGCCTTACCTTACTTCTGGCCTTGTCTAATTGATTAGACTGGAAATGACTGAGTAGATGGTTAGGAGTTTGAGGGACTTTGTGGAAAAACATAACCAATGTGAACTCAAGGTAAAGTTACAAGTTTTGCCTAAAATTAAAGGAGTAGAAGACACAGGCAATAGAGATTTTAAGCAGGGTTTTTAAGTTGGGTAGTTTTCAAGTCAGCATCTTTCTTTGACCATGTAGATGTAGTTGTAGTTATTATTATGATATTATAGCTTCTAATGTATGAAAGAAAGTAAAAATGTATTAGCCACTTACACCAGAAGCAACTCTTCAACTCCTGGTTTAAAACTTGTAGAATTTAAAAAAAGTCCCATAATGACCATTGTGAATATTCCAGACATTCCAGCTAGTTCACCTAGTTTTAAAAATAAATAAATATAAAATATTAATTTAACATCAACTGTGGCACACATTTTACCAGGGATGAAAATATCAGATATCTTGATAGTACAGTGACTTTATAGAGAGGCTGATCCACTTGGTTTCAACAGAATAATATTGCAAGTTATTACCACCGCCTATCGTATCACCCTTCTTCCTCCTCAGATCCACACACGACTGTGTAGTTAAGTGTGTACTGGATGGACATCCTTACACTGCTTTGGCTTCAGATCATTGGCATCAATACGGAGCTCATAAAGTTCTTCGTGGGCCTTAGTGAGGTTAGAGCACCCTCTACAGGTCTAAGTTTTTCAGAGAGGCACTGGCTGAATGAAAAGGGAAGTACACTGATAAATTCCTTAAGGACTAGCCTACTCCATATGCCTTCTTTTTGGGAGACAGTAGGAGATAGATATGGTTTGACTTTGTGACAGCTCTAAAGGAGATGAGCCAGGAAAACAACAATATGAATGTACTTCCCTAGTTTAATTTTGTTTTGGTGCATTTACTATAGGGGACTGAAAAGCCTAAAGAACTGTGGCGTATTTTTTAAAGTCGTTCTCGTAGAGAGCTAGCTTCCAGCATGAGCCCCCGTAGCTTATGAAACTAGTATATTATCATTGTGAAAAACTCAAATAATATGGTACATTATAGAGTTTATATATAATTAAAATAAAAAAGAATACAAGTAATGCCACTGCCACTACCTCATGTATAATTTTAAAGAAAATTTTAATTGGAATTTCTATTAGGGAGAGGATTATATTCACCTAGAATAAATAATTTGATAAACTAATTGAGACTAGAGAATGGTACCCAAAGGGCAGCTTCAAGCATTAAAGGACGCTTGATGAATTTATATATTGGAGACAGTAGTAAAATTAAGCAGGGAACATGCATGGAAAAGTGAGGAAAGAGGAGTAGCCATTGGATCTCATAGGACTATGAACTACATAATGTAACTTTCCCTGTGAACTCTCCTTGTCTCTATATTCAATAAAATTTACTAAGAAGCAGAAACTAGGGCCGGCCGAGTGGCTCAGTTGGTTAAGAGCTCGCTCAAGAGTTTGAGCTCTGAGCAACAGCGGTTCGAGTCCAGCCCGAGCTGAGCAGCCGCTGAGCTGCCAATAGGTAGCAGGATGGCTCAGCTAAAAAAAAAAAAAAAAAAGAAGCAGAAACTGTGGTATATTTAAGAGCAGGCAGCAGAGATCATGAGGAAGGAAACTCCAGAAACTTTTAAAAATCATAAGATCATCTTTGGATTTTCATAAGCTATAGAATTGGGAATTTTATATACTTGGATAAAGATCTTTGAGAAGAATGGAGTACCCAGTGAACACTCATGACATACATCCAACATACATATACACAATAAAGTCACACACACACACACAAAAGAAACTACAATGGGATTATACAGTAATACAGTTCTGTAATGGGCTTCTTTCTTTAATAAAACAAACTTACTGTTTAGCAGACATTGTTCTAGTTAATAAAAATTTTTGGTTTAAGACTAAAGAACTTCATGGATATGCCACTTTTATCATATCATCATATTTATCAAATTGCCATATGTATGCCTTCTGTTTCTTTGGTTTAGTTTGTATTCCTTTGTTACAACAGTTGTATTTTAATTACTGTAGGCTTACTAAATGTTTAATTCCTACCTAGTAAGGGAGGTTATCCACTTTTTAAAAAATTGTATTGCTTATTCTTACAATTAATATTCCTAGAAAAACTTTAAAAATTGTTTTGTAAAATTTCAAAATCCTCCCAAATTTTATCATTGTTTGATTCAGATCATGATACATTTTAATTTGATGAAATTAGTATCATTATTACACTATTGAGTTTTCCCTTTTAGAGATGAAAAATTACAGTTTTATATTTTTTTATTTTAGTCCTGGCCAGAAATGGTACCTCAGCCAGAAACTAACACTTTAGTAAGTCATTTTTAAATCATGAAAGAAGAGGGAACTGTAGACATAGGTGCTTTAAGATCAAGTCCTGGGCTAGTTGTTGTATCTTGTTAGGTAATGGTAAAATTTGAAAAACATTTATGATGATTGCCTCAAAGATGCTAACAATATAAACATTAAGCCAGGACAGAGTGAAAATCCTTTTGTGTTAGATTTGTATTTACTCTGTATCTTGTTTTTATGAATTTCTATCCTAGAAGTTTTCTTTCTAAAATGTTTATTGAGGCATCTTGACTCAAAGTTTAAAATTATTCTGTTGGGTATAACCCTTCGTATTGAGGTAATGCTCACTTACTAAATGATGCTAGAGAAAATTATATTTGCTGGAATATATTTTTGTAAGAATTTAGGTATATACAAAGGAGTACATGATGAATGTACTGGTATTGACTGATCATTGTTTCACTGCCTATTAATTCATTAACTTGATCCTGTAACCTCACTACATTATAATTAATTGGCTTTAATTCACTGATTAGTTAGGAAACCTCACGATCCTATGTTCTGCTTTTCTTTCCTCAGACATGAAAATAATGAATGAACCCTGTGTTACTCTAGCACTTCCAAAGAGAAGTTTTTCCCTGTCTCAATTTATTCAAATTTTATCCTACTCAGTAAACTTTTGTAGTTTTTCTATTTAGGTCCAAACTTCTCGTTAAATTTATTCCTTGAAATTTTATAACTTTTTGTCAATGTAAAGAGAATAAAATTAACATTATATTTTCTAACTAGTTATGGTTGGCTTATAAGAACACTACTGATTTGATTTTTTTTGTTGTTTTTTTTTTGTTTTTTTGTATATTAACCTTCTATCAATCTGTTAAAGTGCCTTGCTGGTTTAGTTTCTTAATTCTCTTGGGTTTTCTATGTAATCTAAATTGTTGTGATTAATGTAACCATTTTCTTTTTCAAAATATGTACACACATTTTTTTCCTTATTGTTTTAGCTAGAGCTTCCAGATCTACTTTTTTATTTTTTTTAGCTGAGCCATCCTGCCACTTGTTGGCAGCTCAGTGGCAGCTCAGCAGCAGCTCAACAGCAGCTCAGCAGCAGCTCAGCTTGGGCCTGGCATCTAACCATTGTCGTTCAGAGCTCGCAATCTTGAGCAAGCTCTTAACCAACTGAGCCACTCAGCTGGCCCTTCAGATCTACTTTTAATCATAGATATGAAAATAGGCAACATTGTCTTATTCCTAAAAGTAATGGAAAGACATGGTATAAGTTGGTAACTAGTATTATCACACATGCCAACTCCAAATCACTTGTAGAGCTGTCTAAAAAGCTGGGTTAACTATGATTCTGAGGCTGTATCAGGAAACAGTGATATGGCTAAATATCAAAACCTGCCATATTTCTGTGAGAAGGGAGTGGTCATAAATGGATTAATAATAGTGATAGATTTTCTAATATTTAGCCTTACTAGATTTGTAATTTGTATTTTCATTTCCTTTTTTATCATAGAGTTACCAAGAGAAGCACATTAAATTTCAGGCAGTTAGAATTATTTTTTAACACCGTCCTTTTGTAGTTAGTATTTAAGTGCATTATGGCTGAGCAATGTTTGGAATTATATTGAAATGTTCTTGTAGTCTAGTTTATTTCTGTAAATGGTTTACAGCTATATGTAAAGGATATGTATTCTGTTTTGGAGGTAAATATATATATATATAAAATAAATCACACATTTAAGTTTTTATTTAAATCTTTTTATAGGCATAATAATTTTGTGTCAAATTGATTATGAAGTTATTTGGGAAAGGCATGCTAAAATATCTCATTGCAATTATGAGTTTGCCAATTTTATTTGTCTTTTATAATGGTATTTATGTATTTTGGCATATTGTTTTCTGTTGTATAGTATTCATTATTTTTTTTATCTCTTTGCTATATTATTTTAACAAAAATATTCCTTCTAGACCAGTTGAAATTTTGTTTTTACTAACTTTTGCCTGGTATGTTTATTTTGAATTTTTATCTTTGATATCTTTTTTCTGAATTTCTTTATGTCACTTAATTTTAGGCATAGGCCCCTCACTTACAAATAAAAAAGATGAGGTACAAAACCGAAAAGCTGAGACTTATGTGATTGACATCATCACCAAAAACAGCAGACATCCACAGTTGAATCAGTTTTGAACTTAGAATTCCAAATAAAAAACTTGCTACATAATATGTCCATATTTCATCCACAACTTTCTGGACTGCAAGAAAGAAAAGTAAACAGAAACAGTTAATAGAACTTACTCTTAATTTTAAGTGATACTTTGGGTCAACTTTTCTTTTTGTCATTATCTTTAAAAATAATGCATTCATTGCATTTTGGATAGATGTAGGGTGTTTTCTTATTCCTAAATTGAAAACATTTCTGTTCAAATGCTGCAAACCACACTTAAGTTTGTAAAATTCAGTTCATTTAGTTTAAGAACTTTTTTCAGTCCCCTTGAAGGAATATGTGTTTTTTACACGCCAAACAGTGTAATAAATTTTGGAGATACAGTAATGAATAAGAAATAGCAAGTCTTTAAATTCATGGCATTTATATTCTAGATGTAATGTAGAACATAAAGGAAATATAGAAAAAGGAGCACCTTTGGGTCCCAACTGAGTAAACTCCTATATTATCCTGGCCTGTAAAACCAACTGGTTCCTTATGGTTGGGCATTTCATTCTTTCCAGTTTTTACCCTGATAAATACCAATGCAGTGTATATTTCTGTACATAAATTTTTTGTACTTCTCTGATTACTTTTTTAGGCCCCAGAAGTGGAATTATGCACTAAAGGATAGTTGGCTCTTTATTAATATTGTTATATTTTGCCAGATTGCTTTCTATAGTGATTGTGATGCCCTTCCCAAGAAAACAGGAAGTCTAAGTCCTTGATATGCTCCTTTGCTGGAATCAAGCACGCTAGTGGGTAAGGAAGTCCTCCCCACCTTTACAGAGTGAGGAACTAAGGAACAGAATTTGAATCATAAATAAGAGTGGGTTCTTGGGTCAGGAAAACCTGAAGGGTCAACTCCAACTGCAATAGGTGGAGAGTAAGAACAAAACCGAAACAAAGAATGAGCAGCAGAAAACAGCGACCATGACAAAACAACAACAACAACAACAACAACAAAAAACAAGGCTAAATTGGGAGGAAATTTTTAGAACTGTGCTCTGAGCTGGTAAAATGAAGGGAGAAAAAAAATTCCTGTATGAATCCTTGTCCATAGATGTCCAATGGTGGAAGGGCACTATTAAGAGTACTGAGGCGATTTAGACTTCTTTTAACCTAGCCTCATTCCCTTGGCTGAAAAGGAGCCATGGTTTCTACATTTGCCAAGTGGAAAGATTTAACATCTGCAGGGATAGTGTGAAATGAACATAGGAAGAGAGTTTCACGAACAATCCTCTATGCCATCTCTGTTCTAGGCCACAGTGATAATTTGGGAACTCCAGCACCTCGTATAACTGAAACAACAGAGGCCAACTCTGGTTTCAGAAGAGTGCAGGGAACTGGAGTTAGAAGACCCAGTTTGAAAGCTGCTTTCTCCTTTAAGAAAGGAAAATAGCTTTTAATCAATAAAATGTTTGGAAAAGGTAAGAACTCTCAAGCAATAACTCTTCTTAGTTTTTCCCTCTTATAAAACACATGCTAACTTCAAAGATAAAATAACTGTTTAAATAATTGCATAAGTTATAAAAATAATGATCACTATGAAAATTATTGATTCTCAATTGTGTCAATTGATATCAATGACATATAAATAAAACATTGGTTAATCTTATCAAGTTTCTTTCTTAAGGGAAATTTTTCTTTCAAAGCTATTAAAACTTAGGAGAAAGTCCTAAAGGGTAACAAAATAAGTTCACTATTCTCTTCTTCCTACAGAAGAGCTTCTATTATTGTAGTTTCTACCATTATTATTTTAATAGGGTGATTGCTTATAAGTTTTACTCCTCTGAGACCTAAACAAACACAAAATTCTGTTTCATTGATTATTATCGAAATTACGAGGCAAGCTCTATGAAAGTAAGTACTAGTGTGTTCACGGCTGAATCACCAGGGCCTAGGGTAGGAACGACCACATAGTACATATCAATAAATAATTGTTGGATTAATGAATTTGTAGTGCTTTTTGTAGTGCTTTGTAAAAGGTAAATCACTACAATAATACTCACAACTGTGCTATACAAGCATAATTTATGGTAAAATGTTACAAAATCCATGTCAGCTTTTGGAAAACATAACGTGCCAATTTAAGAAATTAAGAAAAAAAACATAGACCCTTACCTAAGGAATTGTTATTATTTTTCAGGCTGGTGTTAATATCCAAAATACTATGAAACATAATAAAAGATATTACAGAGGTCATCAGACTTTCTCCATTAATTAAACTGATGAGGTCTCTAGAAAGACCTATGGAAGGGAAAATATTTTCTTTAATGTGGGAAAATCTTCATTAATATTAAAGGTTAAAATTTTATTGGCAAGTAGAAGAAAGTTCTTAGCTATGGATTTATATCACATACTTTCTCTACATACTTAAATAAACTTTAGTCATTTTTGAAAACTCTTCAAGGAAACTTAATTACTTGTCAACTGTAAGTTAAGCCTAGACCATCATATTTAGGTACCAAATTAACTGTGCTTGATTATGGTTTATATATTTGAGATAATCAACTCGAGCTCTCATTCCTGTTTCAAAACACAGATGAAAACATGAAATTCATTATTTTTTAAAATTCCGTGATTTGGCCTATATACTAAATACACACATCATGTATTTAAGGCAAGATCAAAAACATGATGGAATGATAATGTAAATCCATACACCAAAGCTTCATAACACTACCTAAGCAAAAGATCAAGGCAATTGTCCAGATAATCTCACTATAATAGAAGTGGATTTTCCCATACATTCCTTTTCAGTGGTTTTAGAAATCAAGGTCCATGAATGGAGAGCACCCTGATATTATCTACTTCCATCTTAACGTTCTTTTATTTATGATGATATTCAAAGTTTAGATATCCATCAGTTATCATTTTTCTCTGCCATTAAATGCTCCTGTAGTGGCAAAACTATAACCTTGAACATCTTTAATAATTTTCTAAATTCTCATAGGAAGGAAATGTTATTACATGGTAAAAGCCCTTCTTGTGAACCAATCATGCTATAGTTGTGATCACAACCTACTACAGTAAGTATGCTGTTGGGAGAGAAGAAAACCAAGGCAGTCTGTTTTTATGGAAGCTAATTGCCTTGATGGTCCGATTCTTCACCTGTCTCTGTACATATGCCCTTTGCTGCAAGACTTCCTAGTTTCTTTCTTCAGACAGCTAGTCTGTTTTATTACAAAACTTGATGCAAGCAGAGGCTTGAGAAAAAATTCTGCTTCCTCTCTCTTCGACCGCTGTGGCCATCATGGCAGACTTCCTTGGCTACCCTACTGGATGAATGTGAGAAATATGTGGAAGAAAGGTGGATTCTCCTACTTGAGGCCATCCTAGGTCACTTGGCCTCCAGACGATCCTCCAGATGACTGTAGATTCATTCGCTGAGCCAAAATCAGCAGAGCACAGCCCATGTCATCAGAACTGCCAGATTCATGAGAAATAGTACATAATTGTTGTTTTAAGCCACTATGTTTTGGAGTTTTTTTCCTTACTCAGAAAAACCTAACTGATACTGTTGTATAATTATTCCATTTTAGAAAATGGAACTATAACCAAATGTGAACATTTGGAAATAAATAATAGCAATGGGGGCATAAGAGGAGTCAACAGACTATAAAGAGCTCAAGACAATGTGAATGTTGGTGGACAGACGCCCCATTTGAGCTGGCACGTTCTTTTAATGCTGGCTCGTGGGTCCTCCTCCTGTCTCCCCCGCCTCCTCCCCCACTTCCCCCTCCTCCTCCGCTTCCTCCTTCGCCCCACCTCTTCCTCCTCCTCCTCCTCCCTTTTGGCCCCCTTTTTCCCCTTCTTTTTCTCCTCCTCTTTTTTTTCTTTTTGAGAATAAAACTTTAAAATATGAAAATCTTGCTTTTAAAATTCGGGCAAAAATATTTCCAAGACAAAAATATTTTTAATAAGATATAAAGTGAGGAGAAAAACAAAATTCTAAAAGTAATGGCAAGATGGCCAAAAATTGCCAAGAATAACCTTGCAAATTAATCCAAAAAAGTTATTTAAATTCAATAATGGCAGGCCAGGAAATCAGTTGAATACTAACTAGATTAACAGATTATAAAGTTAAGAGAAGCATGGAATGCTCTCAGGTAGCACAGGATGCCCCCAAATCTTTTGAGTAGAAAAGGGGCTGACACTGACAAAGTCCCTAGAGGCGAGGTTAGGAGCTTACCTCACAACCTTGATCTCCTTGTTTCGAAGACTTGGCTTTCCTTTATTCACATAGATACACTTGATGTGTCTCCCCTACTCTATTTCGGCTTGCCTCAGATAGCTCTTTCCCCTTTAACTGGCCATAAAATATAAAGTGTGTGTATCTGCATGCACACATCTGCAAGTGTGGCATACTAAAATTCCATTCTAAAACAAATGTTCTAGTACTCATTATTAAAAAGTGACTGGAGGAAAACAAATTCTAGAATGAGGCTCTTGGATTTTCAGTGCATTACATTGACTTGGTATTTTACTTTTAAATATGTATTTCTTTCTCCTAAAATAGTACACACTGAAAACACTGTATGATTAATGATTTTATTGTTTTGTACTCTTCGGGCTTTTGGTTTGAATGGTGACAATGACTTCAAAGGCAAATCAATTTTTTCTTACAAATGGCATTATTTTAATGACAGTGTTTTCAAAGGAAAAGAGGTGTTGGACAATAGAAATGTCACCACAATGTATATGCAATATACATTGCATATGTCCTGTTGGTTCAAGGTAGCGCCATGTATAAAGTCAAGGATTTCAAATGATGTCCTACTCTAGTCCACTATTGGATGTAAGATTTTAAAAATATATAATAAGTAAGCCCATCTCTGCCATTTCATTCTGTTTTAAGCATTACTACCTGAATTTTTATGCTCAATCCCCAACGCCCCAGTATCCCACTTCATGTTGTGAAAAGATACAGTAAACAAAAGATCTTAAAACTGGACAAGTTAAATGCAGAATAGGATGTTTTAAATATAGAAAATGAGAAAAATATACCTACCAAGGTTTCTTATAGAAGCTGCAGTCAGCATGGGATCTGAACACACAAGGATAGCTGAAAATAATAACCACGGGGTGCTTTTCAATTTTAATTTATTCACCGATGCCAGATACCAAAGAATTGAGGAGTAATTTATCAAAAGACCAGGAATTGTAATTAGAAGTATCTGCAAAGCAATTTTACGGATAGAAAAATCAGATTGCCTTGGTATTCCATTTTTAAAAGCAGATAATTAAGATTATTGAAGATGTATAATCATACTCAATCCGTCAAGGGAAATTTAAAGTTATCTTATTTATCAACTATGTGCTTACAGTTCTGGAAATAAAGGGCAAATATTGCAATGAGATTCTTAAGACCTAAGAAATACCATGTTATAATTAAAAATGAATTTTATTTTTTTGATAAGACCATGAAATATAAATATGTACATGTGAAGGTACATTCATATATGTCATATACACACATATATACACATTCAACTATACATAGAAACTGAGGCATAGCCTATAGCCTATTAACATAGAAAAAAGAACATAAGTTTTAAAATAAGTGACAAAAAACAAATAAATGACAAAGAGAAAGAGAAAATAAGAGAACAGAAATAATGTAGAGAAATGGCAGAGGACTATTAAAAAAAAGATGGGAAGGGAAATTCTGTTATTTTAGGACTGAAACCCTCAGTCCTACCTTCTTCCTTCCCAATGTCCCATCATTGCCTTCTACTCTCTCTTATTCTACCTGTGGTGGCCATTTAACAGGACTTTATTCCAAAATGGACTTGGAAAAATGTGGCGATTGTGCCTGAAGCTACCTATAAGAATTCAGAACAGCACCCCCACGTTCACTACAGTATTAACAACAGTCAAGATATGGAAGCAACCTTAAGTGTCCATCAATGGGTTCATGGATAAAGAAAATGTGAAAGGCTGGCCAAGTGGCTCAGTTGGTTAAGAGCTCACTCAAGAGTGCGAGCTCTGAGCAACAGGGTCACTGGTTCGAGTCCCAGCCTGAGCTGAGCAGCCACTGAGCTGCCAACAGGTGGCAGGATGGCTTAGCTAAAAAAAAAAAAAAGAAGAAGATGTGAGATACACACAGACGCACATACACACACACAATGGAATATTATTCAGCTTTAAAAGAGGAGGAAATCTTACCATTTGAGACAACATAGGTGGATCTTGAGGGCATTATGCTAAGTGAAATAAGTTAGACAGAGAAAGACAAATACCACATGATCTCACTTATATGTGGAATCTAAAAGAAAAACAAAACAAACCTGAACTCACAGATATAGAGAACAGATTGGTGGTTGCTAGAAGTTGAGGGTGGAGGGTAGGTGAAAGGGTCAAAAGATGCAAACTTCCAGTTGTAATATAAGTAAATCATGAGATGTAATGTACAGCATGGTGACTATAGCTAATATTACTCTATCGTATATTTGAAAGTTGCTAAGAGAGTAGGTCTTAAAAATCTCATTACACATAAAAAATGTGTAAATATGTGAGGTGATAGATGTTAATTAGATTTATTTTGATGGTCATTTTGAAATATATACAAATATCAGATCATTATATTGTATACCTGAAACTAGTATAATATTACATGTCAATTATCTCAATTGAAAATAATAAAATAAAATAAATAATTGTAAGGATTTCATGATGATGTTGAAAAATGTTCTTACTGCCAATATTACATAAAAACAGCAATATAAAAAAAGATGAGTCTTGGACCAACCCTTTTCATACATCCTTAATTATTTCTTTAGAATTTCAATAAGTAAAATTAAAGAAACATCAATTTAGGGCCTTCTATAAATATTACTAAACTACCCTCCAAAAAATTTTACCAACAAACACAGCCGCCAGCAGTGTACCAATCACTCCCATTTATAACAATTCTCCTGAGAAGTAGAATCAAATGGCCCCCCACCCCCAGGTTCCTGTCTCAGTTTTGCTACTACAATACATATCAGGAAAGTCATGCACTCCCTTAATGAAAAAGCACCAGTTCTCATTCTCTCATTTAGTGCACATTTATTCATAGCCTACTATGCAAAGAGGCATAAAATGCTATAGGCACAATAGAGACATAAATGCAACACAGTTTTTTTAAAAAAAGAATTCAAAAGAACTAAAGTATTAAAATCATCTTCCTTCTGATGGTTTAGCTCTTTCACTTTTACAGAGACACTCATGCAGACTGGCCTGGGGAGTGAGGACAGGAGGCCTGGATGCAGGTGCCAGTGCTAAGGGATGTTTGATACAGTCGCTTGATCATACATCTCTAACCTAATCTTTGAGGTAACAGGACGATGACAGAATATTTGTTTGGCGCTACTGAGAGGGTGTTTTTGGTGAATAAAGCTTGACAACAGCATCCGGATGGTGAAAGAAATCAAGGCATTATAGATAAGTAGCTTCTAGAGCGGTTGAGTTCTCATTTTACAGTTTTGGTGGTCAGGATTGTTGTATTACTAACTCCGGTTTGAAGGAACACACTAAAATTAGGCCCTGAGACACGAGGGTTGAGGGGTCGGAAGGCCCAAATCCTGATTCTTCCACCACACAGCTGTTGTTGATGCTTCAATAAACTACATGGTATATTGTTTGCAAAAGTGGCTGCAGTAATTCTGTTTCTGAATCCACACCATTGGGTAGTTATCTCCAACACTGACTTTGGGTGAGTCATGTGATTCACTTTGGCTAAAAGGAACAAGGGCAAATATCATGCAAGTAGAGACTTAAAAACACTGGCAAATTCGAACTTGCCCTTTCTTACTGATATCTGAGACTCTGCAACTGCCATGTGAAGAAGCCTGAAACAACCTTCTCTTGATGAGATATTTGTCTCAGTAACACCTATTACCTACAGCCAACATTCACAGTACAAGCCAACAGACACAAGCATAATAGTTTTGCTTCTAATGTAGTATTTTTATTACTTTGAAAAAAATGCACCTCTGCTTAAGATCTGAAGTATTTTTCAAGTTCTATCCTTGATGAGGTCCAAAGCTCACATGATTAGAAAAAAAAGCTTCATAATTTGTAAATTAGGTTTTTAATTGTGTCTGTAAATATTCTTTTCTGTTTTTTCTTCTGCATGTCAGTGTGGGAGTTTTAGAAGGTGGGTATTTAAAAACATGACTTTTATCAATAATTTCCTTTTACTGGACCTAATATATTTCATAATAGCTCTCTTATAGCATGTTGGAGTTAAAATTATAACTTGCATTAAGTTCTGCCACTCAGATTTTCAGAATTACTTTTTCCTCTAATTTTCTTCCTGAGTCTTCACTATTCTAGACAATTGCCAGGATATGGTTTATTCACTAAAATATAAAGCTGAATGTACTTCTTCCACACCTTGTACTTTTTCCCTGTCTTCCTTATTTTCTAATTTGGAGCAAAATGTTTAAAAACCTGAAAATAGATAAAATGTAGTGGTTCATGAGTGAATGACATTGAAAAGGATACTTTTTACCTGCCAAAATAACTTGTAGAGCATGTAAACATCCATGTCAAATGCAACATTGAAGAAAACTACTGGCATAAACAAATCAAAATAAAGACGTGGATTTATCCATTGTATGGCATCTACATATCTTTGGATCTAATAATATAAAAACATGTCATTTTTTCATTTATCCATCCTCCTGTTACCATAGAATACATGCCAGGCACTCCTATCTCTAGCAAAGGAGAAAAATGATACATCATGATTTAATAAGTGCTAGACTCTAAACTGTTAGTTTTTATCATTTTCCATCAGAATATTACCAATTACAGCAGAAAATTAATGCACATCTCTATGCCCACTTTATTCTTTTACAGAACAGGTATAGGAAGTACGAAGTACGTTTACATGGGTACTATAGAATATGTGGGAGATTTTCAGGCATACAAGAGGAAGAAAGAGATTTCAGGGAGACAGATTATTATGCACAAAATCCACAATCACATCAAATTCTAGAAACCACAAATAATTAGCCATGTCTTATATAGAAGATGTTTGTGGAAACATACAGGGATAGAGATTGAGAAGTTAATGCAGTCCGTGAAATAACCAAATAACGGTTTTTATCATATTGGGTTGTTGAAAAAGTCATGATGCATGTATGTGACAGATGGCACTAGCTCATTTTTGGAAGCACTAGAGTCATTCGCATCTATGTTATTCTATGTTATTTAACAGCTGACAGTTCTAGCTTCATTCTAAAAAAAATTGAGCAATTTGGTTGAGTTTTGGAGATTTTACAACAAGTTGAAGATGGAAGTCCAAACTGTGCATTTTTGCCATATTTTACTGTCTTACTTCCATAAAGGGAAAAACGTGTGCCAAGCTTGTGAAAAGTTGCATAAAGTTTACGGTGACAATGCTTTACAAGAATGTCAGTGCCAACAATAATTCACGAAATCCCGTGCTGGTGATTTTTATCTCAATGACTCTCCTCAGTCAGGAAGGCCCACCGAGGTTGATGATGACAAAATAAAGGCATTGATTGAGTCAAACCCATGTTATATGACACGAGAGATTGCAGAAACATTGAACATCCATCATTCAAGCATTCACGACCACCTGAAGAAGCTGGGATACATAAGCAAGCTCGATATTTGGGTTCCACATGAACTCAAAGAAGTTCATTTCACAGCACATATAAACATCTGCAAAATGCTCATTAAATATAAGGAAAACAATCCTTTTTTGAACCAACTGAGAAGTGGTGATGAGAAGTGGATTGTTTACAACAATGTGGTGCGCAAACAGTCTTGGTCCCGATGTGATGATTCGCCTCAAATGACATCGAAAGCAGACATTCATCAGAGGAAGGTTATGTTCTCAATGTGGTGGGATTTTAAAAGTGTTGTGTTTTTCGAGCTCCTATCAAGGAAATAGACAATCAACTCGAATGTGTCCTGTTGGCAATTGGACAGTTTAAACGAATCCATCATCCAGAAACATCCAGAGCTTGTTAATTGTAAAGGAGTTGTGTTCCATCGCAACAACATGAGACCACACACAAGTTTGATCATCCGTCAAAAATTATTGGAGCTGGGATGGGATGTGTTGCCACACCCACCATACTCGCCTGACCTTGCACCATCAGACTTCCACTTGTGTTGTTCTCTTCAAAACTCCTTGTGTGGTATAATGTTCAATTCAGATGAGGCTGTAAATCAGCACCTTGTTCAGTTTTTCACAAAAAAAGACACGCCTTCTATGAACGAGGAATTATGAAGCTGACTGAAAGATGGCAAAATGTTACCGAACAAAACAGGCAATATATCATTGATTAATCTTTGTTCTTTATATAAATAAATGATCTTTGAAAAACATAGACAAAATGCATCATGACTTTTCTGACAACCCAATAAAGTACTTAGCTGATGTTTGTAAACCTTATTTTGGGCATCCATTCAACATCCATTCATTAAGGAAATATTGAGTACCCACTGTGATAAGGTGACATCTTTGCATTTGAGAGCCAATTCTCCATGGTCTCTTATGTTTCTTTATGTCTTACGAGTGGAGGTACTGATTGGTTTTCTTGCAGACTACCTTTCCAAGAACATTTGAATGACTAACAGCTTTGGAAGATACAGTGGGTGTCTCTCTCCAGGGCTTGGGGCAGGTTTACTATATTGTCCAGTGTAATAATGATAATGTCTCCCTCTGGGCAAGAGGGCAGATGAGCTAACTGCCCATCATAAAATATTCAGGTTCTCTAAGCTAAGGTTTCTTCTCCAATAATCCAACACCCTGTGTATGCAGGTTTCCCCTGGCTCTTTTAGCTTCTCTCTGGGGGAATTGGGACTCATGAAAGAGGCACAAGGAAATGCTGACACTCTGGCTTCTACTATTGTGATGAGTGAAAAAGTACTTTCTAGCTGGCCCAGGAGTCCTATGCCTTTTGCCAGGACCGTAAAACGGTGGCCAGCTAACTTATTAGCTTTCAAGCTGAGTAAAACTGTAGACCCTTCACAGTTTTTGACATATGGTTTATTGCTTTAAAGAACAGTTGACAAATAGTGAAGCTATAGAAGTGCTTAAAATTGTTTTTGTATCAAAATCATATGGCTATAAAACCTGTTCATGACAAATGAAGTAGTAATCTGCTTCTGTGCTTGCATGAATATATGTTTTCCATAAAGTGATTTTTACATTGCTGGTTAAGTTTGTTTGGGAAAGTCAATCATTTTCGCGCGCATTCTCATTCATATTCTGACTGACTGGAGTAGGTATTGGAAAACTGTGGCCTCTAAGCCAAACCTGGCTCAATGCTTATTTGTGTAAATCAAGTCTTATTGGATCACAGCCATGCCTATTCACTTATTTATTGTCTGTGGCTGCTTTTGAACTACAATAGCAGAGTTAAGTAGTTGTGACAGAGTTTATGACCTGCATAATCTAAAATATTATATCTGCTGTATTTACTTTTATAGAAAAAGTTTGTCACCAACCCTTGGGCTAAGGACTATTTATTGTATCAGCAATGCATTCTATATCCCTTATGATAAGTATATTCTCTCTCCTCTACCTGACTCCAATCATTCCCAACTATTTAGTAATACTATAGCTGCCTTGACTATGTCTATAGTTTGCCTGGCCCTTTGCTCCTAACACCAGATGCAAGGTTTAATTTATATTTCTTGATGTATTCTAAAGCAGGCATACTTAGAGACTAGCCTATATTCAAATGAGAACCCTATGAAACACTCCTAATTGAGTCCATAGATTGGTTCAATGTCAGAATTGTCTTGCTACTAGAGTCCTATGCCAGCAGCTCAAAGTCTCTCTGGGCTTCTATCTTGTTAACCAATTCTTTTCTAAGCTTTTGACTTCTGTAGAAAAACTCATTAGCCACTTATGCTCTCAGTATAAGTACTCATTCTGAAAAGCCTACCTACTTTTAGAGCTAGGCTCTGTTTTGACTATGTTTAGCTGGATCTCAGCTCTTTCACACTTGGTTCCTTTTTCTACACATCTGGCCTGATGTTACTCATACCCTAACCACCTATTAAATGACAGAGCAGTGAAGAGACAGTAGTAGTTTTACAAATTTTCAAAAGCCATCTTTGTATTTATATGAATCTTAGATATAGTACAAAATACTCATATTTTCTGTACATACCTGGTCTGATGTAAAACTTAATATTTCAAAACTGCATCCAATTACAAATAATATCACAGGGAGAGGAACTGGAAAGTCTTTCAAGTGTAAGTTCAAAAATGCTGCAAAAAAAGAGTCTTTACTGAGAAGCAGTAAAATAGCACATTTTTAGAACTTTAATTTGACCTGATTTCTTACTACTGAGGACAGTGAAATATTGTTCCACTACTTACTTCCTATATTCCTATATTTGAAACCCTTCCTCGCACTTAAGCACACAGAATCAATGTAATTGTTAACTTATTAGGTTCCTGCTTGACCTCCATTATAAAGTATCTCATTTTCTTAGAACCATTAGTAAATATTGCTAGCAATCATTGGGTCTTGGGTTACTACTAAAATATCTATAGCAGCTTTTGCGTATGCTGTGCCATATAGTTTCTTTAGCAATCCTGCAATGAAAGTTAATAAATAACTAAACTTCAGTGAAATCGGGCCAATTCCCAAGATAACAATGAGGAAACAGCTATAATAATTTACCCAATAAAAAAAACTAGCTGCCTATGACTAGTTAGCAACTACACATTAGAAAGCCTATAATGAATATTTAACTCTGATCATTATTGCTATCAAAGTACAATAAGCAATATCACAGCATTTTTTTCAGTTTAATGTTTTTGCTGCTTTTTAATATAATTTCTAATCAGGTCAAAGAATGCAAAAAAAAGTGCTTTCTTTTGGTTTCTACAGTGTTCTTTTGTTCTTGTAGAGCTAGGCATAATTTATCATTTGGACAAAACCAATGGGACACCCTACCAAGTGGTTAAAAAGTGACTGAGCCATTCAGAAGATCTATCACTTTGAAAATTCTTTGTTCAGGTGAAGAAAGCAGTGGGACAGCTAACTTTAAAATATGAATGAAATTATAGTGTATGATAATACAGTTACAAAAACAAACAAACCCCTGACCCTTGATAGTCTGCATATCTGCTTCAATTCTTCCCATCACTTATATCTAACCATGACCTAGCAAGTAAGGAGGTATGAATATTTTGAACCCCACAGAAGTGAAAAATATGGATCAGGTTTTACATGCTTCCTCTCAGGGGCAGATTATTGTTGGATTCATTTGATTGAAAACCTTAGGACAAAGATATGAATTTAGGAACAAAATTCTCATTTCCTATTACCACTACTTTTAAAAATTTCTCTATGGTGGCATTTACAAGATATATCCATAGAATAAACTCAAATAAAGGGAGTTATACCTACCTCCAACTGTGCAGACCAAGGACAATATTAGAATGATTTCAGGGAGGTCCCGAGCAGAATTTATGAACTTATTCCTGAAATATTGCACCCAAGTGTCAGCAAGTTTGTTTTTAAGAAAAGGTATATTAATAACAGTGGCATTCAAACTCATCCTGTTGTTTCTCACAGACCATCCGAATCCAACGCTTTATGACTCTGCAAAATTCACATAGGATCAAAGGAAAGTAAGATTTGCCTTCTTGATGGCCTTCTAATGTTTTTCTCAAAAAAAAAAAAGCACTTATTTTTTCTTATTTATTTCTACTGATATCTTAGGGCCTGCTAAAATTAGGGATACTACCCCTTCTATGATGTTTTCAATTTAAATGAAATAAAAATGGTACAACCCCAAGTGGTACAGACTAACCGCTGTCCACTTTCTGTTCAGCTACAATGCAAAGCTCCACTTCACATTATTCCCCTGCATCTATCCAACTGTCTGAAACAAGGATTTTTCATCTATCCAGTTGCCAGGACCACAAGCTGGTGCATGTCACTTAGCTCAGGGGATGGACAACTGAGGGGTTTGCCCTCAGCTTTCTCTGAGTCTCTGGAAGTATGTTCTGGCAGCTATTCCAAAGAAGTGGGATGGGGGGAAAATATTCTGATCTCTTTTGTTGATCTATTTCAGGCGTCGGCAAACTGCGGCTCATGAGCCACATGCGGCTCTTTGGGTACGTACATGTGGCTCTGAAGTAAAGTTGAAAATGAAAATAAAACTATCATAGTTTCATTTATAAAATTTTTAAAAGATATTATTGTTGTGAGGGACAGGATTGGCTCTTCTGTCTCAAAAGTGTGCCGACCCCTGGTCTAACTAGAAAGAAATTAATAGACCATGATGATATTCAACCATAGCCTTCTTTTATCTCATTTGGAACACTTGACAGGCCAGGTTTTCTCTAACTTTTATATATTTATATAACAATCAAGCACATAATAAAAATATTGAAACCGAAAGGATTTAAAACAGGGGAGTTGTTATATGTTCTATTTCATTGTTCCTTCTTGGAAAAGGAGCAGCAGGGGTCATGATATGTCTTGTTTTGGAGAAACAGATTGTAGCTGCATTCTGCCAATCCCACCTGCTTTCCACGGTAAGGAAAGTTTACATCAGGGGTCTCAAACTGCATGCAGAAAATTCTTTCAATTCTCACTCTCGTAACAGTGGCTTAACATTTTTTAGTTATCTGCTATTAGCATCTGATCTAGCTGCCTTGCTAAGTAATTAATCATTTGCTACTAAATTCTTCTCATAATCCAGCAATGTTTTTTGTTTTATACACACACACACACACACACACACACACACACACACACGCATGCACACACGGTCTGACAATTAAGTTCATGAACTCACCCTAGGAATAGTGCTACATATCTTATTGGTGAATATCACTATGGTCACCTTCAAAGTGCTCTCCTTGGGAAGCTATACACCAACACTAGCACCTATTCCATCCTTCAGAGCAATTCTGGAACTCTTTTTCTGGAATGGCCACCAGAGCTGTGTATTACCTGTGATGTCTTGAATGTCATCAAAATGTCTTCCTTTCAATATTTCCTTTATCTTCAGGTAAAGAAAGAAGTCACTTGGGGCCAGATCAGGTGAGTAGGGAGGGTGTTCCAATACAGTTATTTGTTTACTGGCTAAAAACTCCCTCACAGACAGTGCCGTGTGAGATAGTACATAGTAGTGATGCAAGAGCCATGAATTGTTGGCAAAAAGTTCAGATTGTCTAACTTTCCCATGCGGCCTTTTCAGCAGTTCCAAATAGCAAACTTGGTTAACTATTTGTCCAGTTGGAACAAATTCATAATAAATAACCCCTCTGATATCAAAAAAAGGTTAGCAACATCGTTGCAACAAGCACCCAAACTTAATTTGTCAGACCTCATATGTGTGTGTGTATGTGTGTGTGTGTATACACACACATATATACATACATACATACACGTTTTCTCATATGTTCTTTTCTGATTACAAAAACAATATTTTGAAAAAAAAATGAAATGAATATGTGCTTATTGTGAACACTTTTGAAATAAATATGTAAACAAACATTTCAGAAACAGAAAAAAGTAGTCATCCACAGTTATGTCATCTAGTGGCTCTCATATGTTTTAGTTACATTGTTGAGTTCATCCTTATATAATTATACTTTATGCTGTTTCCAACTTAGTAGTGTGTCGCCAGCATCAAAAAGCCTTGTAAACACCATTTACAAAGGTTGTAGTTTATTAGCACCAATGTAAAAGTGCCAGCTGTGTGGTTGGACTGCCTGCATGCAAAGGCCTGATGGCAGCCACTTGCAGGGCGAAACACTGACCAACTAACTTCTACATTTTTGGCCTCAGTTTTCTAAGCTGTATAGTTTCTAATCTGTGTAATTTCTCTTCCTGTATTTATTATTTTTATTTGGAATTACCAGTTGAGCTATAATAATAGTGGTGCCTGGGTCTTATATGCCGAGATTCCTATTTAAATCAGTCTGGGTTGTAACCTGGGCCCCCCAGGCAATTTTCATGTGTAGCCAGCTTTATAATTTGTAGCCACTGTGATTCACTGAGTGCAAAGGCAACACGGCTCAATATTTAGTCTCAGTGCCAGCTTCTTTTCAATATTCCTGAGTCAGGTATTGTGAGAAAGGGTACCAATGCCTTTTAGGCAAAGACGACCAGAAACACATCTGTGGCTGACAAATTTGGTTTATTTTTTGTTTCAGTGAGGGAGGACATTCACCCTGGAGAACTGTGGGGTATTTCAGTAAAAGGCTGTGAGAAAGAACTTATCATGTTTCTGTCTGTGGCTGGGTAATTTTGGGGCAGTCTAAGGAAGTGCAGAAGTTACTATATAGTGGGTGGCTGTCAGAAAACAAGGACGGTTCTCAAAATTAGGTTTCTCAAAAAACCTTATCTATAGGGAGGGCAGACTAGAATGAGCTATAATGGGTATAGATGCAGCCATCACTCATTTTAGCAGCAAGAGTAGATATTTGTTAGGCTTGTAGTAACACTGAGTAAGACCTAACTCTGAGTGTTAGACCAGTTCCCTGATGTCAGGGGCTGCTTTTTTTGTTTCATTTTTGTCTCACTTCAAAGGGTTTCTAAATTCCTTAACCTCACTTTAGCATGTCAAGAGCTGGAGGCAACCTGGGGGATTTTGATAGTAATAAAAGTGGTAGAGCAGTACAAGCCCAGCTATCCCTCTAAGAGAGACAGATTATTAACCTTAGTTACATATTGGACTCATTTAGCGAGCTTTAAAAATACAGGTGCCTGGGTGGCACACCTAGAGGTTAATTTAATTGGTCTAAAATACAGCCTGGCTACTGGGAACTTGAAAAGCGTCCCAGTGATTCTAAGGAGCAGCCATCATTTAGAAGCACTGCTCTAGGAGACGTCTATGCCAGGGGTCGGCAAACTTTGGAGACAGAAGAGCCAATCCTGTCTCTCACAACAATTTAAACATTATTCGAGAGCCATAAAACAAATGAAATCACCATTATGTGAATAATAGCCTTTAAAAATTTTATAAATGAAACTATGATAGTTTTATTTTCATTTTCAAGTTTACTTCAGAGCCACGTGTATGTACCCAAAGAGCAGCATGTGTCTGGCGAGCCTCAGTTTGCCAACCCCTGGTCTAAGCCATTGTGATAAACTGGTTATATTTGCTCTTAGTTAATAACACACTAAACTGACAAGTATTTTCTGAATCCTAACTATACATTCCTACATGCTTTAAGAATTTAATACAGTTAAGTAGCCTATTGTTTTCCAGCTTAAAGTGGGAATCCATATTCCCATAAGCATTTTTTCATTCTTAAAATTGTTTATTTGAAAATTTTAATAAATGCTTACACATTAAATCTTAATACTTCCCTTCCAGAAAAGAATAAAATCACTCCAAGTCTTATTCTTGACATTTAGGGATATATATGATTAAATGAAATAAAATTTCACTAGCTGGCCATGAAACTGAGTAAATACTCAGTTTAGCAAATACTCAGTTTAGCTTCTTCAACCTCTACTCCAAATTCTTCTAACAAACCTTTCCTCCAAGAAATGCTCTCTTCTTAAAGTAGCATGTGAATGTTAATATTACTCTTGTTTGATATTTTTAAAGATACGTGTAAAGAAGGGGCGGCGGAGAGGCTCAGTTGGTTAAGAGCTCGCTCAAGAGTTTGAGCTCTGAGCAACAGCAGATCGAGTCCCGGCCCGAGCTGAGCAGCTGCTGAGCTGCCAACAGGTGGCAGGATAGCTCAGCTGAAAAAAAAAAGAAAGAAAAAAGAAAAAAAAAGATATGAGTAAAGAAGTAGAAGTGAAAATAAACGTTCAATGTAATTAAAACTCTCCTTCAGCTTAAAATGACGTTTGACAACTTTAGATAAGTTTATGTGCCCATGTCTCATTTGTCTTGAAATTACCACATAGGTTTCCTATATTAATTTATCAGTGAATTAGGTAATGGCTTAATTCTCTTTGTCTGTGGAGTTAATGAAAGACTGCCCTCTCAAAAATGGCGTGTGGATTATTTGTCCTCAACAGACTTATGAAATTCTTTTTCTCCTGGACTGGAAGTCATACTAATTCACCCTGTTCCTGAAAATGGGAAGTCTTTCTTCCTTTTAATCACTACATTTTGCAGGATTCAGGTGACAGAAATATCCTGAAGAGAGCACTGTAGGGTCCCAGTAACCTTCACGAGCTGCAGAGCTCGTGTTTAATGGTTTATGGCAAACAGTTGGGGTTGGAGGATCTCCTCAGCGAGCTCCCCTACTACACAACACAGCAGCCCTCTTACTCACAGACTCTGAGAGTGGGTGGCCTGCTGCCCTTCTAGTGTGTCTTCACTCAGAATGAGCCTTTCCTCCCTCCTGAGTCCTCTGCTCCACACACCTGAGGAGATTCAGCACAGCATCAGTGTGCTTTCCTCTCAGTACCTCCTGAAGGCAAAGGAAACAAACATGAGCCATGTGAATAGTTCTGAAAATTGATATAGGAAGTTCATGGAGGAGGGCCAGGGGCTAAGGGGCAGGAAATTAAGACGAGAGGCTGGTTGGTTTTTGGGACCGTCCTTGATTAGTTAGCTGCCATAGGAAAGGTGGA